AGATCGTAAATTTTGTTATTTGGCATATTTGTCATGAGTTTCTATTTGCTGATTTACTTCTTGGTTTAGGAGTTGGTTCCGAATGTTTTGTCAATCATTTTTGGCTGGGTCGGTCAATTCAGCGGCTTGGGCTGCAATTTCCTCCATTTCTTTTGCCCTTGGGATTAGCGGAATATTTTCTGGCGTTGTTGGCGTATTTTCATCAGAGACGATTACGATTGGTGCCGCTTCTGAAAGCTTATTTTCGCTAGTTTCCTCGTTCGGAGAGGAATTGTCTTCGGCCAATTTCAGATTTTCGTATTCAAGGGAGACATTTTCAAAACTTTTACTCAAAGAATTAATTTCATTAACAGAGTCGGTGTTGCCGGCAAATTTTGCCCTTGTCAATTGCTTTTTTAATTCTTTTTCAAGTTGGTAGATGCTGGCGGCTCAATCTAGTAATGCCTGAATAATGATTTTTCTCTGCTCGGTAATTTTTTTATCTTGGGAATTATCCTCAATTTTTTGGTTTAATTCGTTAATTATGTTGTTGGCTTCAATGTTGTTTTTTCATAGTTCATCAATTCTTTCTTTGTCCGCTTTGGCATTTTTCTCTAATTCCGCAATCTGTTTTTTTAATTTTCTGATTTCTATTTCTTGTTCGCCAACTAATTCTTTACTTTCTTTTAATAGGTCATCAAGGTGCGAAGTGCTAGCAGTATCCTCAATAAGCATGGAATTGGTTGGTGATTCGGCATAATAACTACTTTCGTCACTTGCTTGCCTTTGGGGATGACAGTTGGAATCAGAATGGCTTCATTCATAATCGCTGACCGATGGTCGTTTGAAGTTGCCTCGGCCACGCCCTCTGACTCTTGGTGCTGAATTGTGGTGAGATTTCTCTTCTTTTTCGCTGCGGCTTTCGTCGGGCGTTGTTGGTAATTCATAATTTCTTGGATCGTTGAGAATGCTACCCAAATTGTTTTTAAGTTGCCCGCAATGCTTACAATAATAAGGGCTACTTTCGTCAATCTCAATGTCAAGACCTTCAATGTAAGAAGTAGCTCGCGAAACGGGTCTGGACTCGGGTACGTAATTACTTCTCATTGATGAGGTTTGAGACGAAAGGCTGGGTCGGGCCAAGCGGGAGAACAAATCCCTTTTTAAGGCCTCATTTTCGGCTTTTAGGTTGTTATTACTTTCTTCGATTATACTTAAACGCCCCTCTAAAGCGACATTTCAAAGCTGTGCCGCGTTATTTTCAGCTTCTAAGACTTGTTTTTCTTTTTTCAGTTTTTCGAGAACCTTGGTTTGGTCGGCTAATTTGACCTCGCTAGTTTCCCATTTTTGGGTTAAATCTTCCTTTTCTTCTTTTAGTTCGGTTATTTCTTTTGCTTGCCTCTCATTTATTTTTTTTAATCTTTTAATCTCATTATCTCTTTTTTCCAGTTCGTCTTCTAGGCTTTTTATATCACTTTCTCGGGCCGCTATCTCCCTGTTTTTTGCATGAAATCCCTCAGTCGCTTGTTTTACAGCACGTTCATATGCTTCATTTTCACCCTGTAATGTTGTTATTGTTTCCTCTAAACGAGCAATTGCTTCTTCTTTTTCCTCTAATTCTCTCTCTAACGTCGGTATTGAACCATTTCTAATATTAAGTTTACTTATCGATTCTGATAATTCCCTAACTTGGCGGTTAAGTTTTTCCACCTCTTCTTCTCGTTCTATAAGATGATTACCATCTGCCTCATTTCGTTCTTTTAAGTTTTTAACTTCTCTATTTAATTCTTCATTCTCTATTCTTAGATTTTGATTTTCTTCGATAAGTCGTTGTGCGTATTGTGCTGCTAATTTTAAATCTTCTTCAAATTTTTTTAATCTTTTCTGTCTAAATTGGGGAGCGATTTTCGTTGTTTTTTTAGTTTTGGATACTGCAAAAAATTGTAAATCTAGTTTAAATTGTGGTCCTGACGGGAGGTTCCGCCGGTTCGCGGAGTTGTCCGAAAGAGGGATTGGTTCATTCGTATCCAGACTGTTGTCCTCTATTGAGGAGGGGTTGGTGGTTGTCCTGCTGCTCTCGTGGGAGGTTCCTCTCTCTCTCTCTCTCTCTCTCTGTATCACAAAATCAAGAAACTCTCTTAATTTATTTAATTCTTTTAGATTTGACGTCATGATATTTTATGATTTACCTTTACAAATTAAGTGCTATTTTTAAACTTTTTTCACCTTTTCTATTATCTGAACTAACCATTTCAATTCTCTTAGTTCCCACTATATTGTATAAATAATCTTTCCTCTCACACCAGCCCTAAATTCCTCTTTTCTTTTTTTCTTTCTCAACAACATCCCTATTCTACTTTCTACAATTATTTTTTTATCCTATAATATATTGTTTTAAGCAACTTTTGATGTAAAACACAAGTAAATTATTTATCATTATCCTAATCCTGCTTCAATTTAGACTTATTGTTTTTGCGTGTTCTGAATTTTCAAGATTAGAAAACGGTTTTTTGCTTTTATTTATTGGCCTTTAACAGGCAAAATATTCTATACTATTTTTATTTGCATAAAATATCCATGTCTATTACAATACTCAAATTAAATGTTAATTAGGCAGGCCAGAGGATGCCTGACCTCTCGGTCTATAGCCTTTATTATG